GGAACCGGTCTGCATGTGGGATCCGAACCCTCGGCAGGAGCGCAGCCGCGCTTCCCAAGTGGCGCACTGTAGCAGTGCACCACCAGGCCGGCCCTCTTTCTTCTTCTTTTGATGTAGGCATTTATTGCTGCAAACTTTCCTAGGCACTGTAGCAGTGCGCCACCAGGCCGGCCCTCTTTCTTCTTCTTTTGATGTAGGCATTTATTGCTGCAAACTTTCCTCTTAGAACTGCTTTTGCCATATTGTGTAGGTTTTGGTATGATGTGTTTCTATTCTTGTTTGTCTCAAGGAATTTTTAAATTTTGCTTTTAATTTCTTCTCTAATCCAATTGTTGTTTTGGAGCATGTTATTTAATTTCTGTTTTTGTAAAGTTTCCAAATTTTTTCTTGTTGATTTCTAGTTTTATAACATTGTGGTCAGAAAAGATAGTTAACATAATCTCTATCTTTTAAAATCTGTGTATGTTTTGTGGCCTAACATATGATCTGTCCTGGAGAATGTTTCATGAGCAGTTGAGTAGAATGTGTATTCTACATCTACTGGATGGAATGTTCTGTAAATGTCCATTTGGCCTATGGTACAGTTTAAGTCAGATGTTTCTTTATTTTCTGTATAGATGATCTGCCCATTGCTGAAAGCGGGGTGTTAAAATTCCCTTCTATTATTGAATTGCAATCTATCTCCCCCCTTATGTCTAATTATATTTGCTTTATGTATCTGGTGCTCTGGTGCTGGGTGCATATATATTAACAATTGTTATATCCTCTTGTTGAATTGATACCTTTCTCATTATGTAATGACCTTCTTTGTCTCTTTTTACAGTTTTTCATTTGAAGTCTATTTTGTATAAGTATGGCTACTTCCACTCACTTTTGAGTGGAATATCTTTTCCAGTCCTTCACTTTCAGTCTGTGTTTGTCTTTAATAGTTAGGTGAATCTCCTGTAGGCAACATATCATTGGGTTCTGTTTTTTTAAAAAATCCATTCAGCCACTGTATATATTTTAATTAGAGAGTTTAATCCATTTACACTCAAGTTTATTACTGATACGAGAGAACATATTCCATTTTGTGAATTGTTTCCTGGTTGTTTTGTAGATCCTTAGTTCCTTTCTTTTTCTCTTGTTAATTACCTCTATGTATTGGTGGTTTTCTGTAGTGCTAAATTTATTTTCTTTCTCTTTCTCATTTGTGTGTCTGCTGTAATTTATTTTTTTGTGTGGCTACTTTGGGGCTAACATAGAGTCTTGT